AATTCCCTGGCGGGCCCGTGCGAGAAATACGCATATGTCGGATAGCGCACTTTAAAACCCAAAATAAGTAAGAAAGTAAGCACTGTAACAACACTAAATTATTAGAGCTCGTTTATCTCGATGCTACGAATTCTCTTCGACATATTCCCAAGGCAAAGGAGTTAACTGACTGTTAAAGTCCAGTTTCCACTTTTAAAGTCAGTTAACACCCTTGCCTCGGGAAGATGACTCTCTGACGGCATAATGGTGCAGGGGGTGGGTCATAATTAAACTTGGAATGGGCTAATTAATTAACCAGACTGAAGCCTCGGAATGTTTGTCACGCTATAAGTGTTGTATTTGATGTAAATACATGTAGTGAATCTCAACATTATAATATCATAGACACGGGGTGGTATTTTATATATCACACAGGATCAGTAATTATCCCTTTAATGAACATGTTCGACATCAATGGAAATCAATACCTATACATTTATTTGCGCGTGGTTCAAAATTCATAACACAAGGTTGAACGAAATTTAATTCTTCTATACAAAATGTAAATTGGTCAAAAGTTTAAACTGTTGAGTCCACCCTCGTGGTTTGCTCGACTGTAGGGGGTAGCCAGGCTCGGTGAATTGGTTGAATATGCGAGTCATTGGACCCCCACGTCGTGGATCGTTGCTATACTACCTCCGAGATATTGAACCTCTTTGGCCTTGCATTCAATCGCACTGCAGTGATAACTTAATTAACATCACACCAATTACTAATACTAGGTTAGCATAAGGTACTCTGGCAAGGAGGGCGTCACTCACTCACATTTCTAGGCTGGTTGTCGGAATTTGGCTTGATGTCGCGCTCAAGTCTATTGCAGCATCGAATGGAAACCAATCTAATCAAATTATCACTAAGCATTATCCGCTTAAAAGCTTGGTATTTCGACGGTTATTTCGCGTTTTTAAGTTAGTAAATTTAATAAAGATGTGTCCAAGACAAATCTGACTGATTTCAAGCTGTCATTAATGTCAATCGACCCAATGGCGACCAGAAAAGCAATACTTCCACGGAGATATCGTTTGATTCCACTCACGCGATATCTCCAGCTTCATCAATATTGGATATACGTTACTATTGTGTTATTATATGGGTGTTTTCATATTGGCCTTCTTATAGGTCCAAGGTCAGTCATATTGGCCTGAGGCAACGCCGAGGCTGACCTAGGGCCTATAACAACTACGTGTCACTATGGGTACCATGTAAGTAACGTCTTATGTCCGCGTGTGGCCTCTATATCTAAACAGAATGCTAGGTCCACTAAAAGATACACCACAGGGACACCGTATAATAAAGAATGTCATTATAGTAAGCTGGAGGCCCGGCGAGTGGGCACAGAAGCTGTAAAAGTTTTGTTTTATTAATAACATTTAAGCAACTTTGCAAAAGATACAAGTCTATCACTAGATATAAAAGTACTTCTTTTAAGAAAGAACAGCTGCATATCTAGGAGACATCGCTTGATGACAGTAAATTATTTTGGAAGCAAGTTAAATACATGAGTTATAGTTGTCCTTCTCAAATAATAACGCGAGGAACAAGCATGTTTTAGACCTGGATATGCGACATCGGATATCCTGTTCACACTTACTGCCTGTATACAAAATATTTAAGTAATAGTAGACGTAGATTCTATGTTGCATTTGTAGACTTTTGTAAAATAGAATGTTAAAATGTTGAATATGATTCTGTTTATGTACTCGTCTGTTACACGGTGTTTCGACTGTCCGATTTGTCTAAAACAGAGCTGTGTGTTAAGCCCAATTTTTTCAATTTTTATTAATGAGTTTGGCCGCTGGAATTCATGATACTTGTCGAAGAGGAGTACAATTATTCTCCGACAATTTAGTCGCCTTATGGCAGTCTCACGCCATTCCTTGCAAGTCACGCCTTGTGTCTGTGCATGTCACTATGGATACCTTGCACGTAACGTCTTATGTCTGTGCATGTCACTATGGATACCTTGTACGTAACGTCTTATGTCTGTGCATGTCACTACGGATACCTTGTACGTAACGTCTTATATCTGTGCATGTCACTATGGATACCTTGTACGTAACGTCTTATGTCTGTGCATGTCACTATGGATACCTTGTAAGTAACGTCTTATGTCTGTGCATGTCACTATGGATACCTTGTAAGTAACGTCTTATGTCTGTGCATGTCACTATGGATACCTTGTAAGTAATGTCTTATGTCTGTGCATGTCACTATGGATACCTTGTACGTAACGTCTTATATCTGTGCATGTCACTATGGATACCTTGCACGTAACGTCTTATGTCTGTGCATGTCACTATGGATACCTTGTAAGTAACGTCTTATGTCTGTGCATGTCACTATGGATACCTTGTAAGTAACGTCTTATGTCTGTGCATGTCACTATGGATACCTTGTAAGTAACGTCTTATGTCTGTGCATGTCACTATGGATACCTTGTACGTAACGTCTTATATCTGTGCATGTCACTATGGATACCTTGCACGTAACGTCTTATGTCTGTGCATGTCACCATGGATACCGTACACGTAACGTCTTATGTCTGTGCATGTCACTACGGATACCTTGTACGTAACGTCTTATGTCTGTGCATGTCATCATGGATACCTTGCACGTAACGTCTTATATCTGTGCATGTCACTATGGATACCTTGCACGTAACGTCTTATGTCTGTGCATGTCACTATGGGTACCTCGTACGTAACGTCTTATGTCTGTGCATGTCACTATGGATACCTTGTACGTAACGTCTTATGTCTGTGCATGTCACTATGGATACCTTGTACGTAACGTCTTATGTCTGTGCATGTCACTATGGATACCTTGCACGTAACGTCTTATGTCTGTGCATGTCACTATGGATACCTTGTACGTAACGTCTTATATCTGTGCATGTCACTATGGATACCTTGCACGTAACGTCTTATGTCTGTGCATGTCACTATGGATACCTTGTACGTAACGTCTTATGTCTGTGCATGTCACTACGGATACCTTGTACGTAACGTCTTATATCTGTGCATGTCACTATGGATACCTTGTACGTAACGTCTTATGTCTGTGCATGTCACTATGGATACCTTGTAAGTAACGTCTTATGTCTGTGCATGTCACTATGGATACCTTGTAAGTAACGTCTTATGTCTGTGCATGTCACTATGGATACCTTGTAAGTAATGTCTTATGTCTGTGCATGTCACTATGGATACCTTGTACGTAACGTCTTATATCTGTGCATGTCACTATGGATACCTTGCACGTAACGTCTTATGTCTGTGCATGTCACTATGGATACCTTGTAAGTAACGTCTTATGTCTGTGCATGTCACTATGGATACCTTGTAAGTAACGTCTTATGTCTGTGCATGTCACTATGGATACCTTGTAAGTAACGTCTTATGTCTGTGCATGTCACTATGGATACCTTGTACGTAACGTCTTATATCTGTGCATGTCACTACGGATACCTTGTACGTAACGTCTTATGTCTGTGCATGTCATCATGGATACCTTGCACGTAACGTCTTATATCTGTGCATGTCACTATGGATACCTTGCACGTAACGTCTTATGTCTGTGCATGTCACTATGGGTACCTCGTACGTAACGTCTTATGTCTGTGCATGTCACTATGGATACCTTGTACGTAACGTCTTATGTCTGTGCATGTCACTATGGATACCTTGTACGTAACGTCTTATGTCTGTGCATGTCACTATGGATACCTTGCACGTAACGTCTTATGTCTGTGCATGTCACTATGGATACCTTGTACGTAACGTCTTATGTCTGTGCATGTCACTATGGATACCTTGCACGTAACGTCTTATGTCTGTGCATGTCACTATGGATACCTTGTACGTAACGCTTTATGTCTGTGCATGTCACTATGGATACCTTGCACGTAACGACTTATGTCGGTGCATGTCACCATGGATACCTTGCACGTAACGTCTTATGTCTGTGCATGTCACCATGGATACCGTACACGTAACGTCTTATGTCTGTGCATGTCACCATGGATACCGTACACGTAACGTCTTATGTCTGTGTATGTCACTATGGATTCCTTGCACGTAACGTTTTATGTCTGTGCATGTCACTATGGATACCTTGCGCGTAACGCTTTATGTGTGTGCATGTCACTATGGATACCTTGCACGTAACGTCTTATTTCTGTGCATGTCACTATGGATACCTTGCACGTAACGTCTTATGTCTGTGCATGTCACTATGGATACCTTGCACGTAACGTCTTATGTCTGTGCATGTCACTATGGATACCTTGTACGTAACGTCTTATGTCTGTGCATGTCACTATGGATACCTTGCACGTAACGTCTTATGTCTGTGCATGTCAATATCGATACCTTACACGTAACGTCTTATGTCTGTGCATGTCACTATGGATACCTTGCACGTAACGTCTTATGTCTGTGCATGTCACTATGGATACCTTGTACGTAACGTCTTATGTCTGTGCATGTCACTATGGATACCTTGCACGTAACGTCTTATGTCTGTGCATGTCACTATGGATACCTTGCACGTTACGTCTAATGTCTGTGCATGTCACTATGGATACCTTGCACGTAACGTCTTATGTCTGTGCATGTCACTACGGATACCTTGTACGTAACGTCTTATGTCTGTGCATGTCACTATGGATACCTTGCACGTAACGTCTTATGTCTGTGCATGTCACTATGGATACCTTGTAAGTAACGTCTTATGTCTGTGCATGTCACTGTGGATACCTTGTAAGTAACATCTTATGTCTGTGCATGTCACTATGGATACCTTGCACGTAACGTCTTATATCTGTGCATGTCACTTTGGATACCTTACACGTAACGTCTTATGTCTGTGCATGTCACTATGGATACCTTGTACGTAACGTCTTATGTCCATGCTAATCGCTATGGATGTCGTGTTACTTGTCACATCCTTGCATGTTGTAGATGAGAGTGGGAGACATGAGGTGCAGGTGGAACTCTGTCACGGTGAGCTGTGGCGTGCCTTCCACCGCCTGGGCACAGAGATGATCATCACAAAGTCTGGCAGGTGAGACTAGCAGTTAAGGGTGGAAGAGATACACTGGCATTATAGAAACTGTTCCCGCTTGTGCCAGGTGTGGCTTCAGTATCTTGCACTGCCGACACACTACTAACAACGTTAGTCTATTAACCTCATCTCTCTCCATAGTTTCCGTACAGTGTGCAACTTTCTACTTTCAACACTGGGTACATGCAATCCAAATATAACATGAGGACATTGTTATATTTGTTACGTAGGAGAATGTTTCCTGCGGTGAGGGTGCGGATCCTTGGAGTGAGGGAAGATATGGCGTACCGCGTGTCTCTGGACTTCCAAGCACTGGATAATCACAAGTACCGATATGTCTACCACAGGTACATACACTAGTTCCAATATGTCTACCACATGTACATACACTAGTTCCAATATGTCTACCACATGTACATACACTAGTTCCAATATGTCTACCACATGTCCAGAGACTAGTTCCAATATGTCTACCACATGTCCATACACTAGTTCCAATATGTCTACCACATGTCCAGAGACTAGTTCCAATATTTCTACCACATGTACAGAGACTAGTTCCAATATGTCTACCATATGTAGAGAGACTAGTTCCAATATGTCTACCATATGTACAGAGACTAGTTCCAATATGTCTACCATATGTACAGAGACTAGTTCCAATATGTCTACCATATGTACAGAGACTAGTTCCAATATGTCTACCACGTGTCCATACACTAGTTCCAATATGTCTACCACATGTCCATACACTAGTTCCAATATGTCTACCACATGTCCATACACTAGTTCCAATATGTCTACCACATGTCCATACACTAGTTTCAATATGTCTACCACATGTACATACACTAGTTCCAATATGTCTACTACATGTTCATACACTAGTTCCAATATGTCTACCACATGTCCAGAGACTAGTTCCAATATGTCTACCATATGTACAGAGACTAGTTCCAATATGTCTACCACATGTACATACACTAGTTCCAATATGTCAAGTACAAAAATATCAATATCGGTTTTATTATTCACGGCAGCATCCTACAAAATGCTACGAGGCATTTTTGCATGTTTGTGCAGTTCTAAATGGATGGTGGCAGGCACGGGGGACCCGCCGCCAGCTGACCAACGCTACAGCCACCCGGACTGCCCACTAGGTGGCCGCCACTTGATCAATCAGGTCATCTCGTTTGAAAAGCTGAAACTGACCAACAGAGATGATCCCCAAGAGGGACAGGTAAGTCAGGTGGAGGATGTCAAGGTGAACCATGCATAGAGATTTAAAGTTACTATTTTGAGATGCAACTCGTTTCTGTATCGTGTCATTATATAATCTCGCAGCGCAAGTATAACCTGTTCCGCATTAGTCAATATATATATCTGTGAAGCATGTGGAAACATACGCATCAGATGTATGGAGTATTATGAATGTCATGATTTGCACGTCAGTATTTCCTATTAAGATCTCACTGGTGTCCATGCAGAAGTACACCCCCCGCATCCACGTGTACCTTCTTAACCCTCACCTGGAAGTACAAGCTCACTTTGTGACATCCTTTCCACAGACGGCCTTCATGGCAGTAACAGCTTATCAGAATCAAGAGGTACGTCTGAAACATACCCGAAGTATATAATTTAGCCGCAGCTTTTTCCCCCAAAAATAATGAATGTCTTGAACGATCAATATAGATCTGATCACCTATATGTGTAGTTGTTCTGTTGGTGTTCTTCATCACGATGTAGATCTGACAACCTATATAATTGTAGTTGTTCTGTTGGTGTTCTTCATCACGATGTAAATCTCACCACTACATAATTGTAGTTGTTCTGTTGGTGTTCTTCAATACGAAGTAGATAAGATCACCTATATATTCTGGGTGTGGTTGTTCGATATTCTTTACCCCAAATTGAGAACACGTCAGATATGACGGCGGTGGCGCCATGAGTGAATATTGTAGCGCCAAAGTGGTTGTCTGGTAAATCTGTAGCGGGTGTTAATACGTCGATGACATACTGATATCAGAGTATTGTTCAACTCACGTTATCAGCAGACAAACAAAAGTTCTTGATAATACTTCCTTTATTCCTCGATAGTGTTGATAGTTGGTGTCATGGTACTTAAGGGTGGCTGCAAATCTGACCCTACGTCGTGTGCGGTGACGATGAAGATGTTATCTGCTTTAATTCTCACGAAAATCAGACAGGCGTATCTTTTAAGAAAACTCTTACAAAGCGTATCTGTAACAGCACTCTAATAAAAGAGGACACCCCTACTCGAGCATCCATTGCATAGTTAGTATTCCTTATCAAATACTTTTAGTTTTTCTGTTCTAATTTACCTTGATAAATCATACACATTTTTAATTATATCAAATAATTTAACTAATTTGTAGTTCACCCAGGCCGATGGTCCGACTTATGACATTGCGCGTTGTTCATCCTATGTCTGTCTGTTAACTCTTCCACTGAATGGATGAGGCGGAAGTGTAGGAGGCTGGCTGGCTGGCACCATAACATGGCTTCATGAGTCGGATCTTAACATGACTCAGATATACTCACACTCTAGCTGACACTTTATGAGTAGGAACATAACATGACACATATATTTTCCTAACCCAGCTGAAGCTGTATGTAGAGGATCATTGTGTGGCTTGAATTTGTTAATGTAACTAAAAGGTCGTTATTATGTATACATTGATAAATTAATTTCGAAATGGCTAAGGGGTTATATATTTTGCCCTTTGACCATTGCTTACAATGAAAATAAGATATCTTACAAATATAAGTATTACAATGGGATATTTCACATAAATGTGAGTTACCATCACTTCTTTAACGTTTCCAAAGATGATTAAACAGCAAGTTGACTGTCACGCTTTGGATTTTACGTGGTGAGCGAAAGTGCTAGGTGATATTTTTTATTTAACCATCAGTGCTGAAACTCGCTGCTGGTAGTGCGATACACGACACTGACATGCTACCAATATCTTCCTACCAGCGCTTCTTGCCTTAACGCCATCTGTAAACGCGATGTTCCCACGACATGGCTATCTATGTGTATCTGTCCCACTTCTCTCTACTCACACAACCCAGACGCTGATAGCTTCCTCGTACAATCACTCTTTGTTCTTGCAGATAACCAGGCTTAAGATCGCAAGAAACCCTTTTGCCAAGGGGTTCCGAGAATCCGACAAGAGCAGGTACTTCAGACTTATATCAGAGTGATCAGAGTGATAGTGCAACGTCAACAGATAGTTTAGCTATCTAATGTGATTATTCTAGCTTACATTGTGTCTGATGTGTCTCACATGCTATAACTAATTACAAAAAGGTTTTACACTACTATAACCTTTTTCAATGACATACACGTATATCTTTCATATAATCCTCTGTGTTTCCTTCAGGACGTCCCTTGAGGCCGTCATGTCATCTCTATGTAGTTACATGATTCTCAGAAAAAACGACACTTCTTCCAGGAAACGATGTCTACCTAAAGAAGGTATATCCCTTATAACCCTGTCTACCTCATTAATGTATATATATCCTTTATAACCATGTCAACCTCATTAATGCATGTATATCCCTTATAATCCTGTCTACATGATGAATGTATGTATTTCCCATATAATCCTGTCTACATGATGAATGTATGTATATCCCTTATAATCCTGTCTACATGATGAATGTATGTATATCCCTTATAATCCTGTCTACATGATGAATGTATGTATATCCCTTATAATCCTGTCTACATGATGAATGTATGTATATCCCTTATAATCCTGTCTACATGATGAATGTATGTATATCCCTTATAACCCTGTCTACATCATGAATGTATGTATATCCCTTGTAATCATTACATGATGAATGTACATGTATGTATATCCCTTATAACCATGTCTACATCATGAATGTATGTATATCCCTTGTAATCATATCTACATCATGAATGTATGTATATCCCTTATAACCCTGTCTACATGATGAATGTATGTATATCCCTTATAACCCTGTCTACATGATGAATGTATGTATATCCCTTGTAGTCATATCTTTATCATGAATGTATGTATAACCCTTATAAACCTGTCTACATGATGAATATATTATATCCCTTATACTCCTGTCTACCTCATAACCGTAAATCCCCTATAATCAAATCTATCTCATGTATGTATATCCCTTATAATATATACATTCAGAAAACTACCGTTAAAACGAACTCAAAGGGAACATTAATTTTAGTTCGTTATAACCGTTGCTCGTGATAAGCATATATACAGCATATACACCGCTTATGGCTGAGATAAAAAAAAACCAGTTCGTTATATCCGTCAGTTCGTGATACATATTCTAAGAACCTCGGCTGGGATATAAAATGGCTCTTTTTCATAGATGCGAAAGAAAGCTTCCATGAAAATTATTAAAATCAGCCGAAACACTTTAGCCTTATCTCTTCATCTGGGGTTCTTGCAAGCCCAAAACATGCAAGTGTTGAGTAGCACATACTCACTTTCTCATTTGAGCCCAGCTGATAGTCATGCCGATTACGTTGGACAACAGAGGCCTTCGCCATACCTTGTCCTTCTAGAATAGACGTGCTGTTCTTACAATGTAAAGGGAAACGAGTTGCCCAGTCGTCTAAGGCGCCGCAAATCGCAGTACAGAGCTGCGTCCCTGGGGAACGCCAGAAACCCATTACCGTGGGTTCGAATCCCGGTTCGTCATGAATATGTTTCGTGTTCGTGGCTTTCACCAAAGTGTTAAGCGTCTAAGACCTGCATCACTTTGGACTTTCCTCCCGCATCAAAGCTGACACGCCCTGATACAATCGGGATACTGTTAAAAGAGGCGTTAAACCCAACTCACTCACTCACTCACTAACAAATCAAAATGCAAAGAATAAAATTAACATTGATGAAGTTAAATGTTAACTTAGCAACGCTGCAGAAGAATAAATCCTATTCAACTGTCCATTAGTATGTAGAACTACGTTTTGTCAATCTAAATTAAATTGCAATGTATAACCATGTACATGATTTGACATCGTTGTTTATGTCTCCAGATAAAGAGACACGAAAGTCCTATGACAACTTAAAACCGTTGTAAAACTGCAATATTATATGTGTGTATTTTGTGTCTGGTGACATTTGAGCAAGGTATAGGTTTTATTCACATTTTCACAATTTACAAACAGCGATATGAATTTTATGTTGTTTTTAAATGTTTTACTTGCAGCATCAGATCTGCCAAAGAAAATCTTCAAACCAATGCCGACTCGTGTAGTTCACACGACCACAACAGACCATTCGTTGCATGCACAACCATCAACCAATCACTTCCATGTACAGTGTGTCCCAGTCTCGATCTACGGAGTATCGGCTTGCTGCTATAGCTTGTCACGTGATGACGAGATGAAGGAGCCAGCAAAATCTGTGTGTGATGTTTGCTCTTCCTTCCCCTACTGGAAGCACCCCACCCTTCAGTACCCTGGAGTGTATGAACCATACTCATACCAACAAACATTCCCAGACTACCAGGCCGACATAAAACCAGACTCTAAGGCTGACATTAAACATGTGTTGAAAATTGACACTTAGCACAGGTGCTCGACCGGGAACTGAGGACTTACGTGGAGAGATCTGTAAATTTTGGTCCATTGGATATGTATAGTTCAAGAAGTAAAGAAGGCTTTTACACATTATTTCGAGATTTATCAGATGTGTTCATATGCATAAGATGTGATTTATAACGATGTTAGGGGGCATGGGTGGCCCAGTCGTCTGAGGCGCCGCGATTCGCTGTGCAGAGTTGCGTCCCTTGGGCACGCCAGAAACCTATGATTGTGGGTTCGAATCCCGGTTCGCCCCAGTTATGTTTTTAGGTTTGTCAGCACCATACCCGTGCTCGTGGGTTTCACCGAAGTTGTAAACGTCTGAGACCTGTATCACTTCGGGCTTTCCTCCCACATTAAGCTGACACGTCGTGATATAACTGGAATAGTTTTAAAAGCGGTGTTAAACCCAACTCACTCACTCACTCACTATAACGATGTTAAGTGTATAGGTAAGGCCAAATGTGCAAAAATGACTAATTTTAGATATTCCAGGAAGCGTTTTACTAATATTTGAAGATGACCAAGTCTTTGACCCAAACTGATTTCCTTGGGGTATTTAGATAAATACAGTACAGACTTGAAAACAGCGTGTTTGGCCAGGGACGTGCTCATGGTTAGATTTTTCTTGAAGCGTTCCCTCATTTTAGTCATAATTTTGTATTTGATCAGGTCAAATGTATATGAAGGAAGAAAGGCTAAACGTTAGCCTTTTTAGCTTGGTTGACATTACCAGTATTGCAAACTTTTCGGCAACTTTAAAATTTGACATTTCCAGTGGACCAAGAAGGTCTTTTAAGCCGTCTCGCCCAGTGTGTAAATGTATAAAGTGTCTTGCGGCCTGTAAATACAACAGTTTGATGCTCGCTCGCGAGTAGGATGTTCCGCTCCAAGGAAGCGTTCGGATGTTGAGCTGGAACGGATGTTCACCAAAGTACGTCTGAGCTGGAATCTCCACACATCGTTGTGCTTGTGATGTCGAGTAGCTTTTCCACTCATTGTGCCTTTTTTTTGGTCTACTGTTTTAATGTTATGTATTAAATGTTCTGAAACAGTGATTCCAACTTTGTCCTTCCTTCACCCCAAGAACCGATTCCCTGGTAACAGCACCGTGTCAAATGTATATGTATTAAGAGTTTTTGATATATTTATTCAATTCTAGGGAACACCTGACGTCAACAAAAACACGTTTTTAACAAACATATCGTTGACAGCGAAATATTTCTTGGGCTTATAACAAAGGAAATAGCGGTGCAGGGCTAGTGAGGCTTGTCTCCGGTGCGGGGCTAGTGAGACTTGTCTCCGGTGCAGGGCTAGTGAGACTTGTCTCCGGTGCAGGGCTAGTGAGACTTGTCTCCGGTGCAGGGCTAGTGAGGCTTGTCTCCGGTGCGGGGCTAGTGAGGCTTGTCTCCGGTGCGGGGCTAGTGAGACTTGTCTCCGGTGCAGGGCTAGTAAGACTTGTCTCCGGTGCAGGGCTAGTGAGGCTTGTCTCCGTTGCAGGGCTAGTGAGGCTTGTCTCCGGTGCGGGGCTAGTGAGGCTTGTCTCCGGTGCAGGGCTAGTGAGGCTTGTTTCCGGTGCAGGGCTAGTGAGGCTTGTCTCCGGTGCGGGGCTAGTGAGGCTTGTCTCCGGTGCGGGGCTAGTGAGGCTTGTCTCCGGTGCGGGCAAGGTGCGCGCAGTAGCCTGGAAGGGTCTGGAACAAACCGGTTATCAATTTAATGTCCATTTGTTATAAATGTTACCAAATATTAAACATCACATGATGAATAATGTTCATGAAAATCCACGGTGACACAAGTTGATGGGGCAGATCTGCGATACAGTAATTGATTACTTGAAGTGGAATATTACAATCCATATGTGTGTATGGGGTCTAACATAGCCCATATTCAAGTAGTCAACCTCTCATAGACGACTTTAGAACAAACTAGGACATTAAAGCCTGCTTCTACCAGTATCGTTCTGTGGTAAATTTAGGACATTAAAGCCTGATTCTATCAGTATCGTTATGTGGTAAATCTAGGACATTCAAACTTGCTTTTACCGGTATCGTCCTGTGGTAAATTTAGGACATTAAAGCCTGATTCTATCAGTATCGCTATGTGGTAAATCTAGGACATTCAAACTTGCTTTTACCGGTATCGTCCTGTGGTAAATTTAGGACATTAAAGCCTGATTCTATCAGTATCGCTATGTGGTAAATATAGGACATTAAAGCTTGCTTTTTACCATCATCGTTATGTGGTAATCTAGGACATTAAAGCCTGCTTCTACTAGTATCATTATCTGGTAAATCTAGGACATTTAAGCATGTTTCTACTAGTATCGTTATGTGGACAATTAAGGACATTAAAGCCTGATTATATCAGTATCGTTATGTGGTACATCTAGGACATTAAAGCATGCTTTAACTAGTATCGTTATGTGGTACATCTTGGATGCTTTAAGCATGCTTCTACTAGTATCGTCATGTGGTACATCTACGACATTAAAGCATGCTTCTACTAGTATCATTATGTGGTAAATCTAGGACATTTAAGTATATTTCTACAAGTATCATTATGTGGTACATCTTGGACATTAAAGTCTGCTTCTACTAGTATAATTTTGAGGTACATCTAGGACATTAAAGCATGCTTCTACCTGTATCGTCATGGTGTACATCTAGGACATTAAAGCATGCTTCTACTAGTATCGTTATGTGGTGCATCTAGGACATTAAAGCCTGCTTCTACCAGTATTGTCATGTGGTAAATCTATGACATTAAAGCATGCTTCTACCAGTATAGTTTAATGGTACATGTAGGACATTAAAGCATGCTTCTAGTAGTATCATTATGAGGTACATCTAGGACATTAAGGGATGCTTTTACCAGTATCGTTATGTGGTACATATAGGACATTAAAGCATGCTAGTACTAGTATCATTATGTGGTGGATCTTGGACAATGAAACTTGCTTCTACCAGTATCGTTAAGTGGACAATGTTGGACATTAAAGCCTGATTATATCAGTATCGTCATGTGGTACATCTAGGACATTAAAGCATGCTTTTACCAGTATCATTATGTGGTACATCTAGGATGCTTTAAGCATGCTTCTACTAGTATCGTCATGTGGTGCATCTAGGACATTAAAGCCTGCTTCTACTAGTATCGTCATGTGGTACATCTAGGACATTAAAGTCTGCTTCTACTAGTATCATTATGTGGTACATCTAGCACATAAAAGCATGCTTCTACCTGTATCGTCATGGTGTTCATCTAGGACATTAAAGCATGCTTCTACTAGTATCGTTATGTGGTGCATCTAGGACATTAAAGCCTGCTTCTACTAGTATCGTTATGTGGTAAATCTAGGACGTTTAAGCATGCTTCTACCACTATCGCTATGTGGTACATCTAGGACATTAAAGTTTGCTTCTACTAGTATCATTATGTGGTACATCTAGCACATTAAAGCATGCTTCTACCTGTATCGTCATGGTGTTCATCAAGGACATTAAAGCATGCTTCTACTAATGTCGTTATGTGGTACATCTAGGACATTAAAGCCTGCTTCTACTAGTCTCGTCATGTGGTACATCTAGGACATTAAAGTATACTTTTAGTAGTATCATTATGTGGATAATATAGGACATTAAAGTCTGCTTTTGCTAGTATCATTATGTGGTACATCTAGGACATTAAAGCCTGCTTCTACTAGTATCGTTATGTGGTAAATCTAGGACATTTAAGCATGCTTCTACCACTATCGCTATGTGGTACATCTAGGACATTAAAGTCTGCTTCTACTAGTATCATTTTGTGGTACATCTAGAACATTAAAGCATGCTTCTACCTGTATCGTCATGGTGTACATCTAGGACATTAAAGCATGCTTCTACTAGTATCGTTATGTGGTGCATCTAGGACATTAAAGCCTGCTTTTACCAGTATTGTCATGTGGTAAATCTATGACATTAAAGCATGCTTCTACCAGTATAGTTTAATGGTACATCTAGGACATTAAAGAATGCTTCTCGTAGTATCATTATGTGGTACATCTAGGACATTGAGGCATGCTTCTACCAGTATCGATATGTGGTACAAATAGGACATTAAAGCATGCTAGTACTAGTATCATTATGTGGTGCATCTTGGACAATGAAACTTGCTTCTACCAGTATCGTTAAGTGGACAATGTAGGATTTTAAAGCCTGATTATATCAGTATCGTTATGTGGTTCATCTAGGACATTAAAGCATGCTTTTACCAGTATCGTTATGTGGTACATCTAGGATGCTTTAAGCATGCTTCTACTAGTATCGTCATGTGGTGCATCTAGGACATTAAGGCTTGCTTCTACTAGTATCGTCATGTGGTACATCTAGGACATTAAAGTCTGCTTCTAGTAGTATCATTATGTGGTACATCTAGCACATTTAAGCATGCTTCTACCTGTATCGCCATGGTGTTCATCTAGGATATTAAAGCATGCTTCTACTAGTATCGTTATGTGGTGCATCTAGGACATTAAAACATGCTTCTACTAGTATCGTTATGTGGTAAATCTAGGGCATTTAAGCATGCTTCTACCACTATCACTATGTGGTACATCTAGGACATTAAAGCCTGCTTCTACTAGTATCATTATGTGGTACATCTAGGACATTAAAGCATACTTCTATCAGTATCATTATGTGGACAATATAGGACGTTAAAGTCTGCTTCTACTAGTATCATTATGTGGTACATCTAGGACATTAAAGCCTGCTTCTACTAGTATCGTTATGTGGTAAATCTAGGACATTTAAGCATGCTTCTACCACTATCGCTATGTGGTACATCTAGGACATTAAAGTCTGCTTCTACTTGTATCATTATGTGGTATATCTAGGACATTAAAGCATGCTTCTACCTGTATCGTCATGGTGTACATCTAGGACATTAAAGCATGCTTCTACTAGTATCGTTATGTGGTGCATCTAGGACATTAAAGCCTGCTTCTACCAGTATTGTCATGTGGTAAATCTATGACATTTAAGCATGTTTCTACCAGTATCGTTATGTGGTTACATCTAGGACATTAAAACATGCTTCTAGTAGTATCATTATGTGGTACATCTAGGACATTAAGGCATGCTTTTACCAGTATCGTTATGTGGTACATATAGGACATTAAAGCATGCTAGTACTAGTATCATTATGTCATGCATCTTGGACAATGAAACTTGCTTCTACCAGTATCGTTATGTGGACAATGTAGGACATTAAAGCATGCTTCTACCAGTATCGTTATGTGGTGCATCTAGGACTTTAAAGCATGCTTTTAGTAGTAGTATTATGTGGTAAATCTAGGACAATGAAGCTTGCTTCTACCAGTAACGTTATTTGGACAATGTAGGACATTAAAGCATGCTTTTACCAGTATCGTAATGTGGTACATCTAGGACATTAAAGCATGCTAGTACTAGTATCATTATGTGGAGAATCTTAGACAATGAAACTTGCTTCTACCAGTATCGTTATGTGGACAATGTAGGACATTAAAGCATGCTTGTACTGGTATCGTCATGTGGTGCATCTAGGACATTAAAGCCTGCTTCTACTAGTATCGTCATGTGGTACATCTAGGACATTAAAGCATGCTTCTACTAGTATCATTATGTGGTTAATCTAGGACATTTAAGCATGTTTCTACAAGTATCGTTATGTGGACAATTAAGGACATTAAAGCCTGATTATATCAGTATCGTTATGTGGTACATCTAGGACATTAAAGCATGCTTCTACTAGTATCGTCATGTGGTGCATCTAGGACATTAAAGCATGCTTCTACCAGTATCATTATGTGGTACATCTAGGACATTAAAGCATGCTTCTAGTAGTATCATTATGTGGTACATCTAGGACATTAAAGTATGCTTCCACCAGTATCGTCATGTGGTGCATCTAGGACATTAAAGCCTGCTTCTACCAGTATCATTATGTGGTGCATCTAGGACATTAAAGCCTGCTTCTACCAGTATTGTCATGTGGTAAATCTATTACATTAAAGCATGCTTCTACCAGTATCGTTATGTGGTACATCTAGGACATTAAAGAATGCTTCTAGTAGTATCATTATGTGGTACATCTAAGACATTAAGGTATGCTTTTACCAGTATCGTTATGTGGTACATATAGGACATTAAAGCATGCTAGTACTAGTATCATTATGTGGTGCATCTTGGACAATGAAACTTGCTTCTACCAGTATCGTTAAGTGGACAATGGAGGACATTAAAGCCTGATTATATCAGTATCGTTATGTGGTACATCTAGGACATTAAAGCATACTTTTACCAGTATCGTTATGTGGTACATCTAGGATGCCTTAAGCATGCTTCTACTAGTATCGTCATGTGGTGCATCTAGGACATTAAAGCATACTTCTACCAGTATCGCTATGTGGTACACCTAGGACATTAAAGTCTGCTTCTACTAGTATCATTATGTGGTACATCTAGGACATTAAAGCATGCTTCTACCTGTATCGTCATGGTGTTCATCTAGGACATTAAAGCATGCTTCTACTAGTATCGTTATGTGGTGCATCTAGGACATTAAAGCCTGCTTCTACTAGTATCGTTATGTGGTATGCTAAGTGTTTTGTATGGCTGGACAACGGGACTCTGACCTGAATGGTGGCTATACCGCACTTAGTGTGTCTATATGGCTTGACCACGGGACTCTGACCTGGATGGTGGCTATACCGCCATTAGTGTGTCTATATGGCTAGACCACGGGACTCTGACCTGAATGGTGCCTATACCGGACTTAGTGTGTCTATATGGCTAGACCACGGGACTCTGACCTGAATGGTGCCTATACCGGACTTAGTGTGTCTATATGGCTAGACCACGGGACTCTGACCTGAATGGTGCCTATACCGCACTTAGTGTGTCTATATGGCTAGACCACGGGACTCTGACCTGGATGGTGGCTATACCGCACTTAGTGTGTCTGTATGGCTAGACCACGGGACTCTGACCTGAATGGTGCCTATACCGCACTTAGTGTGTCTGTATGGCTAGACCATGGGACTCTGACCTGAATGGTGGCTATACCGCACTTAGTGTGTCTATATGGCTAGACCACGGGACTCTGACTTGAATGGTGGCTATACCACACTTAGTGTGTCTGTGTGGCTAGACCACGGGACTCTGACCTGAATGGCGCCCTTTCCTCGGCAAATTTGACTGTATGTCTATATTGAAGGGTTGTGGTGTCACTTACTATTTGTTCCAAAGGTCACACAAATTGGATAGCTTGTCTTGGGGACTATACCACACAGTATTTGCTACTTACTATCTGTTCTTAGGGGTTCTACACAGTGGGATAACTGGCCTCGGTGGCTATACCGCACTGGTTGCGTCTGTTGCGAATCATTTTCACATAGCCGTCCTCACCCCACGATGATCCCCAGCTGTAAATACGAACAACATGAACTATAATACTTGAGTCTATGATTGTAAGTATACACACGGCTCCTGTGTGTTCCAGTCGTATCTTAGTTTGCAAGCTAAATTATAGACATACTGACCACAATGTAATAACTGCTAACAGTCAAACATGCCGAACACAAGCAATCTGGCTAAACGACTGGGCACAGTGTCAATACACATGGCTTACTTGTATGTACATAACTATAAAGACATGTAGTAGAATCAATCCATCTACAGGGCTGTCAACTCAAACGAGTATATTAGGTGATACATGTACCTATCTTGTTGTGAACTGTCAGCATTCGAGAAACAGGTATGCTGAGTTTTCGAGATTTACCTGTTTTTGACCAGCCAGTAGTCCTGCCCTTTCAGAGTGCCGTAGCCGACGGCGAGCACGGCGTGGTCCAGGTTGGTGGTGCTGCACCGTTTCTCGCTGTAGACACCTGCAAGCAGGAAGCAGTAAAGCTCACATTTTCTTTGTATGACTACACGAAGCTGTCAAACCACTGCTATGCAGTAATGAAGACAAACCAAAACGGCGAATAAAATAATATTTTACATGCTTGCTCTCGATACAACTGGAGTGGTATTGTTTGATATTGTCTGTGCTATTAAGATTGAAAATCAACCGTGGATAGTTTTTCGTAATTCCAGAATGACGGGTTGGTTGACAGATATTTGTGCCGTGAGATCCCTTGCATGAAAGAGATCCCATTGCCGTGAAGTATTTAAAGGAATATGTAATCAATAACCTGTTCAAACTGCGTGTTAGGGAGACTCTATTCACTCAAATAGATGACAGAAGCGTAGAACCTTGAGTTTTCTGCGGACAGTGTCCACGTCGGTCCGTCACGTAGATCAAATCTCCGATATAATATTACAGACATATTCTTACTAACTTATAGTAAATTCTTGAAGATCTCTGGAAAATCAAACGTGGCTTAAACTACACCCCGGTGTCACCCACATGATATGGAACTTATTATTGTGTATTGTATATTTCAATTATGTTAGATGCATAGTTCTCCACATTTTGTGTTTAGTGTGTTACACTGTTCATGGGAACGTGTACCTTAGTATTGATTATTTATAGTGTGTTTGTATTGTGACGTTATCGTTCTTGGGTGGTTGCCTCAGTCAAAATGTACAGATCCTACATGTTACTGACTTACCACCCTTGTACAGCTGGAAGGACTTGTGCGAGGCGTCAATGGCAACCGACACAGGACCAACAGATCCTACAGCTGACTTAAGGTCCGACTCGCTGCCTCTGCGGATGTCGGTGTGACCGGTGCAGTTGGCGACGACTTTGGAGGCGTCATACTTGCACGTTGAATCCTGCAATGCACACGTCCACTGTGTAACACTAGACGTGCTGGAAACATATTTTGCGATCTGAATTGGGAACAATCTGTATATCTGGTGGCCATGCTGCCCTAATAACAATTTTCAGAACCACCATTCCCTGATATTAGCAATCACATAACTATCTGCACACAAAAGGAAACAAGTAAACAAAGTAATCTGTCAAGCAAACTTTAGGAATGCTTATATTAGCAAAGTATGGGTATGCCTGCTCCAATTGAATGCCGTACTTATGGACGTAACTGAAGGCGTAATCCACCCATCCGCCGTTACAGCCGCTTTCCTTGAAGTTTCGAGAACAGTCCACCAGCTGCTGCTCGCTGAGGGAGATGAGACCATCATCACATATAACATGTTGTGTTGTCAGGGACTATTCTACAGGAGCATAACATTATCACATATAACATGTTGTGTTGTCAGGGACTATTCTACAGGATCATAACATTATCACATATAACATGCTGTGTTGTCAGGGACTATTCTACAGGAGCATAACATTATCACATATAACATGTTGTGTTGTCAGGGACTATTCTACAGGAGCATAACATTATCACATATAACATGTTGTGTTGTCAGGGACTATTCTACAGGAGCATAACATTATCACATATAACATGCTGTGTTGTCAGGGACTATTCTACAGGAGCATAACATTATACCATATATCATGTTGTGTTGTCGGGGACTATTCTACAGGAGCATAACATTATCACATATAACATGTTGTGTTGTCAGGGACTATTCTACAGGAGCATAACATTATCACATGTGACACGTTGTGTCCACAGAAACAAAACATCGAGTGCTATACACTGTTTTGTAATACAGTCGTAACTGGGTTTATAGCAGCTGAGACTGATGTGGCGAATGTGTCCTGGTGCAACACCAGTTCTATATTAGAAGGTGTGTACTCGTGAAAAAAGTTGTGCTATGATAGCGAATGTGTACTCGTGCAACAGTAGTGCTATATACTAGTATACGTGTATATGCCTTTGTAGTTGTGCTGTTGTAACCTGTATATACCTTTGTAGTTGTGCTGTTGTAACCTGTATATACCTTTGTAGTAATGCTGTTGTAACCTGTATATACCTTTGTAGTTGTGCTGTTGTAACCTGTATATACCCTTGTAGTTGTGCTGTTGTAACCTGTATATACCTCTGTAGCTGTGCTGTTGTTACCTGTATATACCTTTGTAGATGTGCTGTTGTAACCTGTATATACATTTGTAGTTGTACTGTTGTAACCTGTATATACCTTTGTAGTTGTGCTGTTGTAACCTGTATATACCTTTGTAGTTGTACTGTTGTAACCTGTATATACCTTTGTGGTTGTGCTGTTGTAACCTGTATATACCCTTGTAGTTGTACTGTTGTAACCTGTATATACCTTTGTAGCTGTGCTGTTGTAACCTGTATGTACCCTTGTAGTTGTGCTGTTGTAACCTGTATATACCTTTGTAGTTGTACTGTTGTAACCTGTATTTATCTTTGTGGTTGTGCTGTTGTAACCTGTATATACCTTTGTAGTTTTGCTGTTGTAACCTGTATATACCTTTGTAGCTGTGCTGTTGTAACCTGTATATACCCTTGTAGTTGTGCTGTTGTAACCTGTATATACATTTGTAGTTGTGCTGTTGTAACCTGTATATACATTTGTACTTGTGCTGTTGTAACCTGTATATACACTTGTAGTTGTGCTGTTGTAACATGTATATAGCTTTGTAGTTGTACTGTTGTAACCTGTATATAGCTTTGTAGTTGTGCTGTTGTAACCTGTATATACCTTTGTAGTTGTGCTGTTGTAACCTGTATATACCTTTGTAGTTGTACTGTTGTAACCTGTATATACCTTTGTAGTTGTACTGTTGTAACATGTATATACCTTTGTAGTTATGCTGTTGTAACATGTGTATACCCTTGTGGTTCTGCTGTTGTGACAGGTATATATCCTATTAGTTGTGCTGTTGTAACCTGTATATACCTTTGTAGTTGTGCTGTTGTAACCTGTATATACCTTTGTAGTAATGCTGTTGTAACCTGTATATACCTCTGTAGTTGTGCTGTTGTAACCTGTATATACCCTTGTAGTTATGCTGTTGTAACCTGTATATACCTTTGTGGTTGTGCTGTTGTAACCTGTATATACCTTTGTAGTTGTACTGTTGTAACATGTATATACCTTTGTAGCTGTGCTGTTGTAACCTGTATATACCCTTGTAGTTGTGCTGTTGTAACCTGTATATACCTTTGTAGTTGTACTGTTGTAACCTGTATATACCTTTGTGGTTGTGCTGTTGTAACCTGTATATACCTTTGTAGTTTTGCTGTTGTAACCTGTATATACCTTTGTAGCTGTGCTGTTGTAACCTGTATATACCCTTGTAGTTGTGCTGTTGTAACCTGTATATACCCTTGTAGTTGTGCTGTTGTAACCTGTATATACATTTGTAGTTGTGCTGTTGTAACCTGTATATACATTTGTACTTGTGCTGTTGTAACCTGTATATACACTTGTAGTTGTGCTGTTGTAACATGTATATAGCTTTGTAGTTGTACTGTTGTAACCTGTATATACCTTTGTAGTTGTGCTGTTGTAACCTGTATATACCCTTGTAGTTGTACTGTTGTAACCTGTATATACCTTTGTAGTTGTACTGTTGTAACATGTATATACCTTTGTAGTTATGCTGTTGTAACCTGTGTATACCCTTGTGGTTCTGCTGTTGTGACAGGTATATATCCTATTAGTTGTGCTGTTGTAACGTGTATACACGCTTGTGGTTGTGCTGTTGCAACGGGTTTATACTCTTGTTGTTGTGCTGTTGTAACGTGTATAGTCTCATGTAGTTGTGCTGTTGTTAGGGGTATATACGCTTGTGGTTGCGCTGTTGTAACGGGTATGTACCATTGTAGTTGTGCTCTTGTAACGGGTATATATTCTTATGGTTGTGCATTTGTAACATGTATTTTCTCTTGTTGTTCTGTTGTAACGGATATATACCATTGTAGCTGTGCAGTTGTAACGGGTATATACCCTTGTAGTTGTGCAGTTGTAACGGGTATATACCCTTGTAGTTGTGCTGTTGTAACGTGTATAGTCTCATGTAGTTGTGCCGTTGCAACGTTTATATACTCCAGTGGTTGTGCTGTTGTAACGTTTATATACTCCAGTGGTTGTGCTGTTGTTGTATAAGTGACTGAGGACTCACTGTGCTGAATGCCCAACAGGAACCACACTGACCCTAAAAGAGACATATACTGAAAAGGTATTAGCATATCATCATAACCTGTGTCCAGGTACTCATAGACGCCTACCAACATTGTAACCAATGTTTTTACATATATCATACCTGGTAATAACAAATATTACTTGCATACCTTATCTTGGTGTGGACCTGCTTTGTAACAAAAAGGTTCCCGTCTACGTATCTGACCAAGATGATCTACATACCTGACCAAGATGATCTACATACCTGACAAATGTTTTCTGTATGCATGACCAAAATGATCTACATACCTGACCAAGATGATCTACATACCTGACCAATATGATCTATATACCTGACAAATGTATTAGGTATTCTACATACGTGATCAAGATGATCTATATACCTGATCAAGATGATCTACATATCTAACCAGGATGATCTACAAACCTGACCAAGGTGATCTGTATACCCGACAAAGATGATCTACATACCTGACAAATGTATTCTGTATGCATGACCAAAATGATCTACATACCTGACCAAGATGATCTGTATACCTGACCAATATGATCTACATACCTGACAAATGTATTCTGTATACCTGACCCAGATGATCTCTATATCTGACCAAGATGATCTACATACCTGACCAAGATGATCTGTATACCTGACCAATATGATCTACATACCTGACAAATGTATTCTGTATACCTGACCCAGATGATCTCTATATCTGACCAAGATGATCTGTATACCTAACCAATGTGATCTACATACCTGACAAATGTATTCTGTATACCTGACCCAGATGATCTCTATATCTGACCAAGATGATCTACGTGCCTGACCAAGATGATCTGTATACCTAACCAATGTGATCTACATACCTGACAAATGTATCCTGTATACCTGACCAAGATGATCTATTAGCCGACCAAGATGATCTACATACCTGACCAAGATTATCTACATACCTAACAAATGTATTCTGCATACCTGACCAAAATGATCTCTATATCTGACCAAGATGATCTACATACCTGACCAAGATGATCTACATACCCGATCAAGCTGATCTACATACCTGACCAAGATGATCTACATACCTGAGTAAGATGATCTACATACCTGACCAAGATTATCTACATACCTAACAAATGTATTCTGTATACCTGACCAAGATGATCTACATTCCTGACCAAGATGATCTACATACCTGACAAATGTATTCTGTATACCTGACCAAAATGATCTCTATATCTGACCAAGATGATCTACATACCTGACCAAGATGATCTACATACCTGATCAAGATGTTCTACATACCTGACCAAGATGATCTATATACCTAACTAGGATGATATGTTTATTTGACCAAGATCATCTACATACCTTACCAAGGTTGTCTGTATACCTGAGCAATATGATCTATATACCTGACCAAGATGTTCTGTATACCTGACCAAGATGATCTGTGTACATGATCAAGATGTTCTGTATACCTGAGCAATATGATCTTTATACCTGACCAAGATGTTCTGTAAACCTGACCAAGATGTTCCGTAAACCTGACCAAGATGTTCTGTAAACCTGACCAAGATGATCTGTATACCTGACCAAGATGATCTGTATACCTGACCAAGATGTTCTTTATGCCTCCTAGATGTTCTGTATACTTGACCAAGATGTTCTGTATACCTGACCAAGATGATCTGTATACCTGACCAAGATGATCTGTATACCTGACCAAGATGTTCTGTATACCTGACCAAGATGTTCTGTAAACCTGACCAAGATGTTCTGTATACCTTAGCAATATGATCTATATACCTGACCAAGATGTTCTCTATGCCTGACCAAGATGTTCTGTATACCTGAGCAATATGATCTATATACCTGACCAAGATGTTCTGTATACCTGAGCAATATGATCTATATACCTGACCAAGATGTTCTGTATACCTGAGCAATATGATCTATATACCTGACCAAGATGTTCTGTATACCTGACCAAGATGTTCTTTATGCCTGACCAAGATGTTCTGTATACCTGAGCAATATGATCCATATACCTGACCACGATGTTCTGTATACCTGACCGAGATGATCTACATTGATGAAGAAGGCGTAGGGGTGAAACGGGAATTGCAACTGATATCGTCCTCGAAAAGGAAACTATAACTCGAGGGCTCGAGTTGGGTGTGTGTGACCCAGCTTCATGTCGAAACAAACAATGAAGAAAGTTTGCATACACTATCTTCTCTTAGTGGTATAAAGCTGATTTCAAGGGAGGCTCGTTCTCAATTGTGAGATATATACTAAAAAAAAAACCTGCCAGTTGATCGTTAGTAGCAGTACCAACGTCAAATTAAATATATTCAACCTAACTGCATTCGACGAAGATACCATAAACACAGAATAGACGAAGAAATTAATATAAAGTGAAATGATACGATTAAAATCCAGTTTTCCTTCAGGTTCTGGTATCATATGCTCAAACATTGAAAACACATTAACAATTGAACGTTAGGAATAACAAAATAAACAGAAAAGCTACCTGATCTTTGACTGGGGTGACAAATCCACGTGTTCTCCAGTCAATCTGGTCCGGCAGTTGGTCATCTGGCAGGGAGAGGTGTGAAGGTATGCCATGATAAGTCCGCTGAATGAGGCGCTCAAGGCGCATGTAACTGCTGAATTCGTCATGTGTCTGATGGAATATACATCATATAAAACAGAACATCCAGTATAAGTAGCCGCTGTTCCCCGTTTGGGATTATGTACTGACGATCATAAGAAAAAATATCGACGTTGTCTTTTAAAATAGATGCTGAACCGCAAAAGAAACGTCACCATGGATAGATATATGAGTGAGTATGGTTTTACACCGCTTTTAGCAATATTCCAGCAACAACATGGCGGGGGACACCAGAAATGGGCTTCACACATTGTACCCATGTCGGGAATCGAACCCTGGTCTTCAGCGTGACGAGCGAACGCTTGAACCACTAGGCTACCCGACCGCCCCTGGATAGATACTAGTATATGAGAAACCTTGTCCAAACACTGTAAACATACTTTGAGACATATTAAAACGTTGAAACTTGGCAAAACTGATCATCAAGGTTGAAATTTAAGTGTCAAATGGTCTTAAAGTGAAACACAACACTAGTCTCTGAGAAAATGGCATCACAAGTCAGTATCTCGTGTCTCCGCCATGTGCATTGATGACTGCCGTGCAACGTCGATACTTGGAATGGATGAGGCGGCTGATGAAGGCCCTAGGCACATGAGCCCACACTCTGAGGAACGCCTGACGCTGCTCAGATGCAGTTGTCGGCCTTGGTCGGACGTCATTCAGCCGTCTTTGAATCTCGTCCCACAGGTGCTCAATGGGATTTAAATCGGGACTGAGGGCAGGCCACTACATGGTTCTGATGCCATTCTGCTGGAGGAAGTCTCTTGATGCTCTCGCAGTGTGGGCACGGGCGTTATTATGCTGAAACTCGTGGTTGTGGTGACGTGCCACAGGGCCAACCCTATGTGCAAGACCAATTCCACCCCACACTATGATGCTCGGACAAGCCCACGAGTCTCTCTGAACGACACAAGCATCCGAATAACGTTCCCCGCGGCGTCGCCAGACTCTCTCTCTATCTGACATCTGCTGTTGAGATACAGTAACGGCTTTTGTCTGAGAAGAGGTCTCTTCTCCACTGCTGGTTGCCCACTGAAGACGGTCCCGGCGATGACGTGGTGTCAGAATGGGTCCTCGGTGTGGCCCGTGACAGTGGAGGTCTGCTCGTCAATCGTCGACGCACGGTGTCCGCACTAATGTGTTGCTGGTGTGTCCCCACGGTCTGTCGAGCAGTTTCCGCACCAGTAACAAAGCGATCTTGAAGATGCTGTCGCACAATCTGACGATCCTGATGTCGGGTGGTGACCCTTTGTCTTCCACTAAGTGGTCGGTCATCTGTAGTGTTGGTGGTCTGGTACTATTGCTGGGGCCTGTATATGGTCCTTACGTTGACTTGAGATGCATTGGCTACTTGCCCGGCGGTTTGTGCAGCTTGCATTCGTCCAAGGGCTTGGTGATTTCTTGGCAATCCTGGCATGTGGTAGCAATTCAATAACGAATGAATGTTATCCGATCTGGAAGGAATTTTATAGAGCAAGAAATGGGGGAACGCATGTGCATTTCAATTTGCACGAAACTCACGTGCATCGGGTTACCATGGCCGTTGCCGTGATGCGTTTTGGCGATCAGTTTTATTGTCATCTGCTTTGTTTTTTATCATCAAATTTCATTTTTCCGGACAAGCTAATTTTAAATTTTAGAAACACTGACAAACATTACCCAGATATATAAATGACAACTTTTTCATGCAATGTTACTTGGGGTGACGTTTCTTTTGCGGTTCAGTATATAAATAGTTATCATTCGTGGAAGGTCATATAGGTGATAGAATTATTATTTTCGTTACTATGCTTGGACGGTGCTGCACGTGTAAAATTCTCTTTTGAAGAAAACTTGTAATGTACGTGATGCATGATATCCGTGCACATAAGGGCATAAAAACTGTGGCACGGTACCCGAACGAACAGAGAAAGCTTTTTGAATGGTTGGGGGCAAGTTATGAGCACGTCGCAAGGGTAATGCATCATTTTGTTACAGCGTTACAGGATCACCGGGAGAACAGCAGGCATGCCAGAAATCGCAACCGCAATTGAGGACCGTTATTTCCGCACCTTGACCCTTAACAGATGGAATCCCGTAACATATTCCTTAAGCCCCCTTTACACAAGGCTGCGACCTTTGTGCCACCTTTGAGCGATCGAAAACTGGCCAGGACGCTCAATGGTCGCCTGAACCCAGAAAATCATGTTTCTGTGTAACTGCCCCAGCAGTTGTTCAGCAGTAACTGCTCGAGTTGTTCAGCGTCTGCAACCACAATGAAACACTGCAGGTACACGCTCTCCATTAATAGGCAGGCTGAGGAGGCACTACAGGTAGCTCAAAGGAGACAGAAAAGAGGCAGAAGCCTGGCCCTGGTGTCTCAAGGGTTGCTGTGGTCGCCGAATGGAATACATTTGCAACAGAACGCATCTTCTACCTGGCGACCATTTGGCGACCACTGTGCCTTCATTCTGCAACAACGGCAATGCTTGTGCCTCCCTTCTGCCTCCTTTGAGCCACTTTTGAGCAACCAACCTCCTCGGCGACCCTTGTGCGACTGTTTTGAACATGTTCAAAAAATTCACGGCAACCATGGCGTCCATGGCGATGTCTGAACCTCCCGTGTACCACCTTTGAACGACCTAGGCAACCATTCTGCCTCCTTTGAGCCTCCAACGACAACCTGGCAAATTTTATGGTCGCACAAAGGTCGCCATCCTGTGTAAAGGCCCCATTAGCTGCACAGACTGTGCTTGGCCTTTCAACCGGACAATGCAAGACCTCAAAACAGCTCGTATTTTACAACAGTTTCTGACCACGAACAACGTCAGTGTTTTACCATGGAAAGCCCTTCCACCAGACGTATCACCCAAAACATCTTTGGGATCGTCTTGACCAGAACATCTGACGCAGTCCCAATCCTCCAATGAACAGAGATCAAATGGTACAAACACTGAGAGAGGATTGGAGGGCAAGTCCTGTTGACGGCATTAGCCAACTCTGTCCGACGTGGTGTGCATGCTTGTATGTTGGAGACCACCCCGCATTTTACTCCTGATGCTACGTGGGATCTGTTGTGTTGTAACTTGCTGTCAATGGTGTGTTTAACAGAGTTTATGTCTCGCCAAATGATTATACTTTCGTATTACAATATTTGCATCAATATGTTTGTTTGTTGTTCAACACCGCACTCAGCAATATTCCAGCTACATGACGGCGGTCTGTAAATAATCGAGTATCGACCAGACTATCCAGTGAATCAGATCATGAGTATCGAACTTCGCAAATTGGCATACGATGACAGGCATCAACTAAGTCAACGAGCCTGACCACCCGATCCCAATAGTCGCATGTTACGACAAGCATAGTCGCCTCTTACGATAAGCATGTGTCGCTGAAGACCTATTCTCTACCCGGATTTTCACGGGTCGCGTCAACATGTGGTTTGTGATTTGATTTTATCATTTTAAAGACTGATAGGTATACTTTCTTTTAATCGTCATTTAATATGTACACAGTCAGTCCCCGGTGCACTCTAATGTTCCTGTTTATCTCGACTTCCACATGTGCATGTGAGGCATACTTTTCCTAGATGTTGTCCTGAATATAAACATGACTCATGCTTACCATATCAGAGAACTGGTTGATGCCCACGTAGAAGGAGCTGACCCCTTTTTTGTACAGTGTGTTGTGGTCAGCAATGTATTGCAGGTTGTCTTTGAAAGTTTCGTACCTTTGGCTCTCTGTGTCAAAGTCGCGGAACATTTTACCTGAAATACATTTCGACTCTAATTCCAGGATTTAGCTTAAATCCATTAATGCAGTACCATTATCAAAACGTTTTCTTGTTAAGAGGATATATATACATTAAAAAAAATCATAAATGTTGAACAGGTTCGAGTAACCAACAAAGTAGATGCAGTTCATCCATAATCCGACAAAGGCAAAGACATATATACTGGCCTAGACTGTGTAACACCAACATATGAGGATATCTGCTGAGGTATTAGACCACAGTGAAGCAGTCAGTTGCCCATCGATTATTCACAGACTGATGGAGTCATCAGACACCACAAACCAATGATATTTGTTCCCAAGTATTAAATCCATACGGTGTAACGTTAAATGTTAACAGAATATTTACTGTTAAACCATGACTAACTTTCTTGTTGGATTCATATTTCAAAGTTTAGGTAAAGCCGAGTTGATTATCAATGGTCACATGGGTACTTATTGTTTGCATTATGTCTGCCAATGTCTAAGTACCGTGTGTGTTCTTGAAAATCTGCCACTCTTCATAGAAGGAGAAGGATGTCCTGGCTGCTGTCGACACCTGACGCCCGAGGCTACCCATGTTGAACCTCTCCACAAGCTTCAACTGGCCCATGACACACGGCAGACACATCCACACCAGTAGAAGGTACTGCATGTTGTCACTAGATGTTTCCGTAGATGCTTCAACAAATACAACATTGTCATGACATGCAGTATGTGTTTCATATACCCAACTCGCACACTGAATATAGGAAGCCCTACAGATTAATACAGTGATATCAAGACGACCCCTTGGTATCCGCAGAGGCCACGGGACACGCACTTGTTACACGTCATTGGATAGAGGTACGCGAAGAAAGCTTCTATCTACTCCCATCGTAGAGCAGTTACGAAGTATGTGTTTTGAAGCTTCTTTTGTTCCTTCCAGGTATTACCTGGTGGAAAACAGACTGAATTAAGTCGTTTTTCTTCCACTGTCGATCGTATGTGTCATTGAATTTTCTCGCGTTATCTTGATTCACATCTGTAGTGTTCTACATTGTTGGAAAGCTGGCAAAGTTTAAAGGGGCACTGATCTAACGCAATTCCACGGACTGGTTGTTGCCTTTGTTATTGTTTTTTCCCCGTGAGTACCCGGATGATACGCAACGCAACTGAGCGTGACCAGAGACTGGGCTACCGTCTGCGAGGACAGCTAAATAAACTTGGAGGCTGGAGGCAATATTTGTTTTACGCATTTTTGCATAAACATTGATTGGTTAACCGTGCTCTATAAAGATTTCGACAAAGGGCGCATGTTAATTAATTTCTTCAGCCTAAACAAACAGACAAAAAGAACGGCGGAGCTCATCGGATGTCGTCATTTGGAAATACCCCAGATGGTTATAGTTAACACTAAAAAAAGTATCCATGCAGTGAAAGCATTTTCGGATTTCGGATTGCGTCGATAATACGATTACTACTCCCTTGTTGTCATCAACGTTTTCTCGTATAACCCTACACTTGTGTATTTATCGTCATTCACTTGATGTTCAGTTAATGAATTTATTACTGGTACAATTAGTGGTAGCACCACTTAGATTACCTGACAAAGGTTCCCATTTGGCATTTATTGTGTCTGGGGTAATTATTCAATCTAAATCCAGGTTTGAAGTAAGGTGAAATGTGTGTTATGTAATATGCACGTGGCAGACCAGCAAGAGGTGAATGATCAGTTGATTTCCTCTTTTTTGTAAATCAACGGATCGTTCCTAATCATCAAAGGATTAACAGAAAATACGTTGATTGATTAATCACTGTTATCTTGCACAGTGGATATGTCAAAAGTGAGTGTTTACATGTCTAGGTTTACTAAAACAAAGGGAATACACTCATATCCTTGCGTGAAGTGCCGATGTAAAAACAAACATACTTTGTTCAAAGGGTTAACTGATAATACGTTGATTGATTGATCATTGTTATCTATCACTGAATGGATTTTTTTAGGAACCGTGGACGTTATGAAAATAGTTGTCACGTGGGCTTTCTCAGCTGACCCTTGAGACTTGACACCTATGTGAAACACCTGAAACAATCCAAGTGATCAGTTGAGAAACGAACACGGGTTATAATATCCCGAAACGATATATAACTTTTAAAATATGTGATTGTTACAGAGACACGTGACATCGAATAAGTTTCTTTGTACAGCTGCAGACGAGTGGGATATTGTTCCTTTGTGTGGATATTCACGGATACATTCCTCGAAGAAAGAAGCTGCCTAAAATTTATACACATAAATTTGGTAGGTTGTAATTATGATATTTGCATTTTGTTTTCCTTCATTTGCTGTAGCATTGAACCGATTCGTCCTTGTTTCTCTACGTCTTGGTTGGGAAATTCTTCAATGCACGATAGACGTTGTTTTCACAGGCCTTTTGCCTTGTAAGCGTGTATATATTACCGCCAATTTGTAAAATGTAATTCTCTCAGGCAATTTATAAAATGTGTAAATATTTCAGTCATTTTGACTAAAAAATCTGTCCAGATTGATTAAGACGATCAAAAGGGCCTACAAACATCACAACAGATTATTATGTAGGATTAGAAGCCAAACAACATAGAAATGAACTTTTCAACGTAACATTTTCAGTCTCTTGGTGATGACATTAAACAACAAAATGTTTGGAATTCGTTATCATAATAATACAGATGGAAATGGTTTTCAGTCATTTTGTTAAATAACTGGATATTTAGTCGTTTAATAAATTTGAAAATGTTACACATTTTGACAGTAACAAATATACACACTATCAAAAAGCAATGCTCAGGTGAAATATTTACTCTGTGTTGCAAGTCAAAATAGTGTAAACGAAAATCGCAAAATTACCAAGCAAGTGACTTATCAAAACTTCGTCACCATTACTGATGCTACCCACAAAGATACCTCCATTTCCTTATTACCTCGAAAACTGTATTTCAGTTTGTTGATCAATGTGAACATACGCCCTTATTACTACCCATACAAGTGACTAATGCGCTTACGAATGGCGCAGTAGAGGTCGCGAACTAGTCTAGATTTCTGCTATACATCCGGGTACTCACTGGGAAAAAACAATAACAAAGGCAACAACCAGTCCCGGGGAATTGCGTTAGATCAGTGCCCCTTTAAAGGCACAGTTAATCTTTTGGACTCCCTCCGTTACAAACCGATATGCATGACAGCATGTGTGTGTCTGTGTTTTCACTGTACTTGTGGGTAGGGGCATGTCAGAGGTGTGTGTGCATTTCTGAGCGTGAATTCATTGTCCATGTTGTATGTTGTGGGTTCGCGTGTAGCACTGCATCTTTCCAAGGCAATGGAGTTAACTGACTATAAAAGTCCAGTTTTCACCCTTGCCGAACTAAGCTGGAATTCTTCGGCTCAATTGTAGCGCCACCAGTGGCTATTACGAGTTATGTCCCTTCTAAGCCTCTCCTATGGACCAATCAGATTCTACCTCTCGTAACACTTGTATTTGTTTCAAACAAAATGGTAAAACGTTATGATCAATAATCTAAGATCTATATTATAATATAACGGGTCTTACATCGCGAAGTGCGTCAAATCCCATGAGCACATTGATTAAAAACAAGAAAAGGATTTGGAAAATATCTGTTTACAACGAATTTGCGGACAGTTTACGAACCGGATTTCGATTTCGTTGAGCGATTTTGATTGGATTATGTATAGACTCGTTAGTCCAGCCAAAATGTAACTCCATAATACCAGCCTAGTTCGGCAAGGCTGGAAACTAGACTTTTAAAGTCAGCTAACTCTCTTGCCTCGGGAGGGATGCCATTTTGTTTGAAGCAAATGCAAGTGATATCGTCACGGTATGTGGTAGTTACATACCCTATGGAACAGGGTAAACGGAAGTGACGTTAAGGCACGTGGAATGAAGTTGAATAAAGCATCATGGTTACGATTTGGTTATGTTGTGATCGCAAACTAGCATGTAAACATGGTGTCAGAAGCGGCCAGTAGTATAGGTAATAGGGGTTCTGGACCACTTCCACTGGAGCCGGATTCATATACCTATACTGCTACTACAGATGGCATTTTTTATGCCAAAATGATTATGCGATTCAACGATAGTCATGAGATTAAGTTAAATTGGGTCTAGCTCACCGATACCTTGGGCCAATCATTGCTTTAGATGAGCCTAAATGGTAATAAAAATATTCTTCATTATTTTTATCAATAAAGCGTTATTCAACATTTTTATTAAGTTCTTCGTTCATTTTACTAGGAGACCAGACTATATAATTACACTCTTCTTGTAAATTGATAAGAAACAATTGATAACCGTATTTGGTTGGTTTGACATCACTGATATAATAAAAACCTTGTGGTAATTCTCTCCATTTAATAGCTTTTTCGATCTCCATTATTATATATATGTATGTAAGCATTTGTCTAAATGTGATCAAACGATAGTAAGCAATCTATTTTTAATCTCCAACCAGTTCTTTGGTTTTGGCACGGAATAATTGACGTGCTTGTTGCCTCCCCTGTCCTATGAACTTTTTTTTCTCGTCTTCGCTAATACCACTGGTCTTCTGAGATTTTGAACGAATCTCCTGCTTCATTGCGTTGTATTTAGTGAGTTCCAACAGCACTAAACAAAACTCATCCTCGGATATCTTACAATCGACCATTGCTGTCGAAATATGATCCTCAATGCTGTTCAACTTTGCTTCGGCGAGCATCCGAATACTATCGTGTTTTAATGCTTTCTTTTGTAACCTACGAGTAATGAATTTTATCGCTATTTCTGCCGGCTATTTCCATGCCGAGCACGATAGGCACGGCGATTATAGTTTATAGTAAACCGACACTGGCTACACCAAGTCCCATGCCAGCTGCTACAAGCGCGGTGTCAACTCTGTCCAGAGCATTCACGGCTCTGCGATACTTTTTATACAATCCAAGTCTCAACTCCCTATCCTTCTCTATTCGATGTTTTATGTCGCTTATTTGATGTAATCGAAATCCATCAGCAGTTTCCATCTTTTCAATTGCTTCATCGAGCGCCGGATATAAACTCATAGTGTATATTACGGTCATATAATAGTCTTTGATTGGTCTTGCTTAAATGTTTTGAGACTATACATCAATCTTATCAAATGTATATTATACGGCAAGAATATCTTAGTAAGAGAAATACTACCACTTTTAATAATTTGGACCCCCTCGAGGGTTGCAACGGGCGATGCTCCGATATGAATAATACTGCAACGTTGACGTTGGTGTTTCTTGAGCCATTTAATCAATGGACCTGGTAATATTTCGAAGGCATCTACCGGTGCATCTCCGAACAAGACTTCAATAATAAGCGTAGAAGTATTAGGTATTGCACTCAGGTTAACTTTAATATCATCGAATTCAGTAACCAAATTTAAAGTAACATTTTTTAAGGCCGGACGACTATATAACATATGACCTGGGTCTTCTGGCAGAAAAGTGACTAACACACTTTTTCGTTTTGATGGGATATAAGCCGCGAGTATGATGCCACTATTTATTATCTTAGTTAAATTATGTCCCTTACCCATCATCACATAAGGTAGGGTAATGACGATATTCAGTAGCCACTCGATGTTTGCGTCGACCATAGTCCATTTATTATCGTCGTTGCGAGTAATATTATACGAAGTGTTTTTAATGAGTCTACTAACATCGACATCGCTTAAATCTTCTAGATTACCCGTGAATGTAACTTCTTTCCACTTGTATACATTATCGTGTAAGTGTAAAGCCTATAACTTACCATCGGTACCGGGTTTACCGAATCCTTCTGTGTCTCCGAGATCGGAAAGCGCAATTGTATTACATTGTCTGAGCGTTCCAGGGCCTGATGCATCAACCATTATTTATAATATGGAGTGTTACACTTAAGTATCCTATATGTACAGGTTGGTGTTTTACATCTAATACAGAAATTTAAAGGTCTGAAATAATACCCTGCTTTAATTTTTTATATTGTAATGACGAGAAAGATTCCGTTCTGCCACTATTGTATTTTTCATCTTTAACTGGAACACATCTGAGCAGAGTTGAAGGACTTTCTAGTTGAATATTATATGTCGTGCTTATTTGAT